ATTACCAATTATTTAGCCGATTTTGTTTTTTTATTGAGACTGTTCCAAGTGCCTGTGATTATATAATACATTGGACGTGGAAATTCGTCAGAAGCATCGGGAACAGCGCGTGTTCGTATGCGGCTATTACGTAGTCGACCCGGAGCAGGATATGCTGCCATGCAGGGCCGCTGATATCGTGGTTGTATTACATTAAATGCAGGAAGCAGTATAATGACACCAAAGGAGTAAGACAGCGATTTGGTAACTGGATTTCAGCTACATTTTTTGTCGTAACGAGTTCGATGTGAATGAAAAGATACAGAATCGTATACAAACATGAGCTTCTTGGTGTGTTCACGATGTGCATTATTGCTAAATCTGATTACCGGAGTAAATTTACAGAACCGCGTAAGCTGGGTCCTTCGTTTTTGACATAAATCATACTTTTATGCCAAGCGACATGGTTTTCCACGTTATTCTACCGTCTGCTGGCGAGGCCCACACTCTAAAAGTTTGCACACAGCAGCTCTTTCAATGAGCCACGGTAAGGGCTTTTCGCCGTAGCCTAGTCGAGTGCAGAAAATTCGCCTAGAAATTAAGGGTTAGCGTTGGCACCCATGGCTGGGTTTAAAATTAAAACGTGTTTTACATTTAAGAACTATAGTTTAGAAAATGCCTATGTGTTTATGGTTTAATCCCGCAGTTTTTGTTAACAGACTAGAACGCTGCGGCATGAGTAAAATAGTCTGAACTACTGTCACCCGCAGGAATGATGCTGTGATGAATTGTTGATGAAGTAAGAGACTGGACGCTCCAGCCGATTGTAGCTTTTCGGCACATGTGTTTTGGCATTAATTGGCATAGCGAACCGTTGCCCGGTGAGCACGCACGCGACGATACAGTTGGCCACTGGCCTTCCTGACGATCGCCTACTAGTGGCTCATTGAAAAGACTGATGTGTGCAATTATTTTGAGTGTGGCCGTCGCCAGCGGGAACCCGGTAAGATACGTGAAAACCATACATGTCGTGGCAAAAAGTATGATTTATGTCAAAACGAAGGGAAGCTACCGCGTTGTAAATAACTACCGGAAGGATGTAGAATAAGGAACCCAGTGAACAAGAAGAAGGTTCATGGTTTGTATAGCATTTGTATTTTTAATTCAGCAACTCGAACTCGTAGCGACAAAAAAATGTAAGTGAAATCCAGTAACCAAAGTGCCGCTGAGTCTTTAGGCCAAAAAACAACAATACCTGTGTTTCCAGGTTTCCGCGACCCTAAGCTAAGTATTTTACAACCCGACCCTACACTTTTTTATCCATATTTTTCAAATAAGGAAAATTTAATACTGGAAATCTGATAGAATTGAGTAAGTTGATCAAAACCCCATAAGCGGCACGGCTGATGGGATAGCGTTTATAGCGCATGGGAGACAACTGCGGCAAGCCAACGTGAAAATACGGCCGGTGTCACGCGAGATCATCGCACGTGTAACAGCAATAATGGCGATTATACAAAAAAAAAAGCGATTCATGGAAAAAAAAAAAGTTAAAGCCTACCCTACCCTACCTATTTTTTTCAGTACGATGAAATCGGACAAACACCAGGTATTGATTTTTTTGGCGCCATTACTCCTTTGTCATTTATACCCAGTGCCTCGCCAAAAGCGTCGACGTGCGGACTGAAAACCACGCTAACAAAGGACGCGACAGACAAGAGACAAGATCGGGCCAGCAACAAGGTGCGGGACGAAAACGCGTGATTTTTGGCAGCGGGTCCGATACAAAGAAATTTGGCTTTACCGAGACGCGTCGTGTCAGGTAAGCATTACAGGTCAACTAAGAAGTTGAAGCAGAGGCTACGGTAACGGTCAGTGACCCGACAACACGTAATTCCTAACGCCTACTATGCGCCTGCCTACTGGCTATCTTAATATACGCGTGTAACACAATTAATCTATTTGTGGGAAAGGCGATAGGAAGAGATTGCTGTTATATGAATAAAAGATAAAGAAAATGATGACATGCGACCTGTGTGTGAACTATGCAGGTGAGAAGTGTTATATTAGCTATGACTGATTGATAGCCTGGATCAAAGATCGACAAGGCAAAGACTGACTAGAAAATAGGTGAAAACGCTACATCAATGACAAAGCTGGCATTATCAGAATGCATTGCTGATTGCAGCGCGGGGTCACGAAATGGATGAAAAAATAAACGATGCTAAGCTTTCTCAGCTTTATCATGGACGGGTCCAACAGCATAGGCTGGTGAATGAGGGCCAGGAAAGGCATAATATCGTTAGATATGTGCCACAAGAAAAAGGCAACAGAAGATGGTGAATAGTGTTTTAATGTTTCAATATTTGTTTGGTCCAGTAACATATCATTCGGTCTGGTAAAAATCTATTTTTTAGCTGGCGGGCCGAAGTCCAGTAAAGGATTTTGTCTTTTGGCGAGGACATGTTATACTCCTGATAAATGTAATATAAATGCTAGTCTAGGGAGCTCGCCTACTCTCCAACCTAAACTCTAAAATACTAAGCACCACAATTGCTAAACCTACCACTAATTTATTTATACTCTTAACCTGAACTCTAATACTAACCACAATGCTAAACCACCACGTGAATTATTAAACGCGAGCTCGGTTTGCTTATATAGGCGAATATGATAGTACCAAACACTATCTATGGTGTATAACCACATACGCAAAGCATGTATGCAGGGGCGTCACAGTCGTAGGGCTGCGTAGAAAAACGCAAGGCAAAAAGCCTAAAGGGCAAAACATAAGCCTAATATAATATAATATAATAAAATTTAGAGCGCCTAGATTTTAAAATTGGCTGGGGGGAAACCCAGACCCCCCTTCACACTTCCGATCTCCGGCACTAGAGGCCGTGCGCCTGCGGGACGCTACATCAACAACTGCTCGGACGAATAGCGCATACGAACAGGTGTCCGATGCTCGGACGAATATCCACGTTGATAATAATTAGTGAGTCGCGTCGTAGCTACAACTTTTCGTTTCTCACTATGCTGTACTGTGTACACTAGCTATAGCCCTACTGCTTACGCGTAACAGTAACACTAATCACAGGCACTTGAAGCGTTAGGGTTAGGGTTAGGGTTCTAGCTCATCTAAACTCTCAAATCGTGAATTTATTTTCCAAGGCGTTTTTTCGAAATCTGGCTCCACCGCCGCCATCTTTGTCTCGTTAAGTATGAAAGCGAATGGACTCCCGTACCCGTAGCCTCGAGACATTAAGGTACGGCTACCGTACCCGTAGCCACTGCCTAAAATATAATGCTAAATAAATACGAAATCTATTTACTACCAAATTCTTAATGTTTCTATACTCTCTTTCACCTATTAAGTATTATTGCCGACAGTTTCCTTTAAATTCCGTCCAAATCCTATTTATTTGCAACATACGCTTGCGGCCGCCATTCCTCACGTGGCTGCACTGTGCACACTTACACTTATATATATAAGTGTAAAGGCCAAGACACTGCAGCAACAACGACCGACCGTAACGACAAACGACAACAGTCGCGGCGACTGGCGCAGCCACACTGCAGCGACAACGACCGACCGTAACGACAAACGACAACAGTCGCGGCGACTGGCGCAGCCACACTGCAGCGACAACGACCGACCGTAACGACAAAGTTCACCCAGCACTGACCACAGTGCCAGTGCCAGTGGCACACATGAGCAAACGGCAAAAAACTCCTGCTGCTGCTTTTAAATAAATTGCTGTAAAAACGCTCTATGTATAATGATAATATAATAAAGTAATATATACGCAGCATATTATACGAACGTACACAATAATCACGTCTGATGGCTGACCGTAGCCTTGCACGTTTTGGTTAGATGGGTTTGCGGCCCCACTATTTCTGACGAGCGGTGCGAGTTTAGCGCTGGGGACCAGTCTACTTCCTGGCTAGCATTGGTTTATAATTTTATGACGTAATGGCGATGTCACGTGCCGATGGAAATGGCTGTGATTGGCAATTTGTAAAGTGTTGCCGGCGACAGTCGCTGGAAAATAGAAACGTTTCTAAATATTTTTGTTGTTGAGGTTGTCGTCAGTCGTCGTCACGTCAGTGTGCAATGGCTCATAGGAAACAATAGTTCTAATTTTCTGAAAAGTCGTTTGTCGTTACGGTCTATCGCTGTCGCTGCAGTGTGTCTTGGCCTTTAAATCACTGTTAGTACATGCTTGTAACGTTTAGTTTAGTACTCATAGCTCTCGACTACTCGAGGTGTTATCCGTGATCGTACGTTCGTATGCTACGTATATTATTGAGAGATATCGCCTCGCTCGTTAACTATAAATGCTCGAACATGAGTGTACGTGCACAAGGTCAGAACATCTTTAATGTACAGAGTACTACACGACGGTTTACAGAAAAGTACGCGGAATTAAAAATTAATTGTTGTTATTAAAATGTTGTAAATAAATCATGTAAATATTTGCGTTAATTGAAAAAAAAATGTTAAACAGATAAAGATAGAAAAATACAGAAAACAGGAAAATAATTAAAAAACGGATGGGATTCGATCCTGCGACCATTCATACTTGGCGCCAGCGTGCTAACCATTAGGCTGCTGCGACATATTGAAATTAAAATTTTGGATGTGCTATGTATATCGCGAGAAAACAAGCTCAACCAATCAGGCGTCAGTAACGTCAGTACCGTGACTTTAAGAGAAAAAAATCGGCGACGGTACCGTTGCAGGAGCAACAGCCAAATGTTAAACAGATAAAGATAGAAAAATACAGAAAACAGGAAAATAATTAGAAAACGGATGGGATTCGATCCCGCGACCATTCATACTTGGGGCAAGCGCACTACCCGTTGCGCTGCTGCCACATATTGAAATTAAAATTTTGGATGTGCTATGTATATCGCAAGAAAACAAGCTCAACCAATCAGGCGTCAGTACCGTCAGTACCGTGACTTTAAGAGAAAAATAATCGGCGACGGTACCGTCGCAGGAGCAACAGCCTTATGATATACCAGGGAGGGAATACACTGGACTTTGTACAATCATTGTGAAAAATGACTGAAATTTCTTTCGTAGTTGTTAGATGCTAAGTGGTTGCCGTTGTGTGTAGGAGGTGCTGAGGAGTTGTTTGGCAAGCCCTCTACTAGGGGCTCAACCACGAGTGGCTCACTATTCCATGACAGCGATGACAACCTCTCCTCAAGCATATCAGTTCCTAAGAAGGAGGAGAAACTAGGTGAGTGAGCATCACATGTGATTTCTGCCGCCTCAGTGTTCATTACTGCAAGGATACTTGCGTATTGGCAAGATATAAGAAGATTTCTGGTTGGTATTATTTATCGAAGTGCAATGTTGGGTTCTCGTTAGTCATTGTAACATGGTTACCAGCGACATATATTGTGCAAACATCAGATAGTTGATAATATAGGTGTAGATATGTCTGTTCTCAATGATGTTGCTGCTAGCTGTGCAGTTAACATTCAGGAATGGGGAACAAATTTAAACTTATATTGTTTATACTGCAACTTATAGTTATATATTAAACAAATAGATATTCAGTGTGGCAGTTCTTATCGAGTATAGAGTAGCTTCACGTTACAAAGCATGTGTTTCTCTTTTTCCTTAAATTTACGAACACAGAGTCACTATTTGAGGATGATGATGGAGACTTATTTGGAGAAAAATCATCTCTGTCAGCAGACACGAAGAAGGTATATACGAAAAAGAGATAATAATATGGAAAACATATACATTAGCGGCATGGTAGATGATAATAAGTGCTGTAAGTTAAGAAATTCAAGAATTTATTGAATTATTAGGTTGCATTCTATACCCATTTCATTCTGTATGGCTTTTTAGCTCATCTGACATAGTCAGTTGCAGCTTGTAGAATCGCATGATCGTCCGTGCGTGCG